GCGGCCTTCTGCCGATTCTTGCTCGATCCGAAGTGTGCGCGTCCCTGACGGTTCTTCGCACGTTGCCTCGCCTGCAGTACCTCTTCTAGCTCATCGGCATCCGAAATACGCAGCAACGCAAGCTGATCAGCTAGATCGCGGTCGTCCTGAGTCTCGATGAAATGTTCTACGTGCTCGCGTCAAACGTCGGATGGGCCGCTCTTCACGCGCAGCTTTGCCCTCAGTCCTGCGACGCTCAGGCGGTGCAGGTATTCCAGCGGCGTCTCGTCAGCGCGCTTCTTTGCGTGGTAGTATTGTCTTGCGACAGATACTCCGAGTCCGCAGAACTGTACTTGGAATTCGCGTAGAAGCTCTTTCCAGTCGCCCCTCGTGGTTCGACTAAGTTGCCGGTACCAGTTACGCGCTGATCCAGTGAACAGGCCACCAAGCACCAGGCATTTCTCGTCGTCCGGGGCCTGATCGCGGACGAAGACTGACTTTACCTTGCCGATCCAAGCCCCCGCGCAATCCTCGTCGTCGTCCTTCCCCGATAACTTCTTGAGTTCTGACATGACAGATACGCGAATGCGAGGGGTGATTGCTGGCATGTAGCAGCGGTGGCTACGGTCGCTTGCCGGGAGACGGGGAGGTCCAGATCGTCCGGGTCGTCTTCTCCGTGGTCAGACCCTACCGACTTCATATCGACGTCCTGCGGCTCCGTTCTTCTCACCGGGGCCACTGTTGGCGTCCCTTGTGCGGCGCGTTGCTCCTTCAGGAAACGTTCCATCGCATAATTCAAGAACGTCTGCAGTCTGTCTGGAGTTTTGTTCGATCCGCTGGCCGCCACAGGAGCGTCTGCCCTGGGCATCACGCTCGATACACGTTGCGATCTGGTTTGCAACATCGCGGCTCCTGATGGGCCAGCTGCATTCGCTCGACTCCTTCCGAGGTGTCTGAGTCGGCCATCGAGGTCGCTGACGCGTAGTGCGAGTGTTGGGACGATCCAGTCGGCGAAGCCGATCCGGGGAGCTGAGTCAGCGCGACTTCCAGCTTGGTCTCGACCTTCGTCTGAGTTTCCGCTTCTCCGACCAGCACTTTCAGTTTCTCGAAGAGCTCCGACAGCGTGATCTGGATCGCTTCGAGATCCAGATGGAACAGATCTTTCGCTGCAAAGGAACCTGGCGTGATGCTGGCATCCTTCAGCAGGCGCAACGCAGCCTTCACAGCGTCTAGCTTGTTCGTCGTCGCTGGTGGCGGCGTCACTGGTCCTTTCAGCGACCCAGGCATCCGCAGCTGTAGGATCTTCATCACCGGG